ACAAAACACAAACTGTTTGCATAGCTATTCTAGTTATCCATGAATACTTTACGTACATACATATATATGTATATGAAGATATGTATTTGCGTTGCCATTAACCTATCTAGGGGGACAAACCCCGGTAGAGAGCTTTGAGGGTACCGTACGCAGCTGTTGTTGCCTTCAACTATTTGTTGAGCTTAAGGACAATTCGAATTGGGCGCCAACTAACCCGGGGTAACTACCCTGGGCCCAAACGAACATATGAGTGCGAATGTGAGTGTGGGTGCCTTTGGCTGAGTGCGAGTGTGTGTACTTATTATTTTAACTCTTTTGCATGTGCCATGGTGCTGCTGTTGCTGGTCCGTGTCTGGCTCCTTCCATTTAGCGCAGATGAAGATTAATTACAGGGAAATTCGTAACATTTTTCATGCTTAATCTTGGCGCTCATCAGAACGCACCCAACACCCCAACCCTCCCGCCGCCCAGCCGTAACCGAACTACCCCATCCTTTAGCCAGCTACATAAGCGGGTCTAAAGCAAATGACGCACGTGGAGTAAAACTAACTTATTAATAATAATAATTGTTTTATGTGCGTTTGCTGCTCTCCACCCATCCACGCTGCCACCGTTCGCCTATTTGCCGAGCCGGAACATGTGTCACAGTTGGGGGATCACCCGGAGACGGCGGCCACTCGCAACGGGGCTTAAATGTGTGTATTTGAAAAATGATTTCTAGCAGCTTAGCCCAAGAACTGCAATGCATATGGCTGGGAAAACCGACATTGAAACCGACCAACCCCAAAATAAACCAAAAAAAAAAAAAAAAAAAAACAGAAACTAGTTTACGCTGCTGGACGCCCTTGCCATTTGACCAGGTCCAACAGAGAAGAAGCACAAGTAGATACTCTATACGAGACTGGGTTGATTGACTACAGCTTTAGACTGGAAAACTTTTCAGTAATTGAAGCAAAATTCTGAAAACATTTGAAATGCTTTCTAAAATTCTACATTTGTCTAACTTTTAAGTATAAATTCAATTCGAATTTTAACTTCATCTTAGTATTCTGTTAAAAAATATTTCGACTAACCTAAAAAGAATTTCGAAATAATGTCATAAAATTTATCAAGAAAAATTCTCTGTAATTAAAGCAAAATTATGATAACATTCGAAATGCGTCCTAAAATTCTACATTTGTTTTACCTCTTAATAGAATTTCCATTAGAATTTCGTTAAATCTAAGTTTCCTGTTTACAAAAATTCGACTAATAAGATATACTAATAAATATCGAAAAAATTTCCAAATATGTCTCTAGACAAATTTTCGATAATTAAACCAAAAAAAAACTTTCGAATGCGCCCAAAAATTCTCATTTTTTGCACATTTTACTAGAACTTCAATTTTAATTTTGACCTAATCTTAGTTTTCTGTTAAAATATATATTCTGTAATATAATATATATAAATTTCTGTAATTTGAGCCAAATCATGAAAACATTTCGAATCCTCTCTAAAGTTGTTTCAATTAGAACTTTGACTTAATCTAATTTAGCTGTTACAAAATATTTCTACTAATGCAGTCAGTTTTGTATGCATTTCAAGTACTTACCTTAATTATATCTCGATTTCAATTAGACGGCTTTTTGCAGGCTTTTCGGAATTTAATATACATATAACAGACTTGAGAAACTTTTTATAAAATCCAAAAATTGATTCACTGCCAAAAAAAAAAAAAACAAACATAATAATAATAAAAAATAATTATATATTAAATTAATTTGGATAAATAAATTTGGGAAAATATTTGTTCTATTTTATAGGGTATACATACAGCGGCTAGTTATTGTTGCATGCCTAGCTGACTGTCTGTCAGTTTGTTTTTGTTGAACGACTTTTTACGACTGCTACCTGTTCGAGGCTGGGCGATGGTGCGGGTCTCTTAAGTGGCCTGCTGGTCAGCTAAAGCCGCCGGAGACATTAATTTTATTGTTTGGACTGCGCGCGCGCAAGATCGAAATCTTCAATCTTGAGTGTTCTTGTGGCGCAGTTATTGATTGTTTTAAATTAGGGTCAACAATGCGGCGCGAAGCGTCCAGGTTCCAGGTTCCCGGTTGCGAGTTGCGGGTTCCAAGTTGCAGGTTCAACAGTTGCGCCCCCCCCCCTCCGCTCTCGGCATGCTCCAGGTAGCAATTTCTTTTAATTACAAGCTCCGCTTTTGAGGCACAACACTCGCGCCGATAACCAGTCGTCGCCGCTGCAGGTGTTGCCAGGCAGTTAGCAGGCGCAACTAATGTCTAGATAATGGGCCCCCACTGACCTCCCCCCGACAGACGACCAGCGACCCACCCGACAGACTGTTGGCCAGCAGACTGAAGCCGCAAGAAGAAAACACAACAAACCTCAACCAGAGGCAATTGGATTTACGGTGGCAATTTGTAAGTATGAGCCACAAAATTAAATTTTAAACGTTTTCTCAGCTGGTGGCGGAAACTACAAAATACACTGGCCCATAAAAGTACACACACACACACACGTGCATATTTCGATCGTTACAGATTATGAAAACAAAAAGGTTTCTTAGCATGAACAAGTCCAAGCCAAGCCAAGGGCTTAATATGCTTTATATAATGCGTTCTAGTCAGACTTTATATACCTAGCTTGAGAACCAAAGGAGGGAGAGGGCGGACTTCTTATAATTCAGATTATTAATTTGAGATCAGGTGCTCTTTCATTTTTGGGCCTAAATATAAGTTCCAAATATGTGTATATGCCAGAGTTAGAAACTTGTATACCCAACATGTGATTGAACTATAAATACTATTTTTGCCTAGTGCACACATTTGCAATTCTTTTTATGCAACTGGAATTAATATATATATACTATAAACCCTTATAAAAGAATTTACTTTTGCTTTCTTTTTTGCACGAATAACTTGGCTATATATACATATATCCAATCTGTCTAAAAATTATATATAACGAGAATTATGTTGCCAGATTTAGATGACAAATTCATCTAGAGGCCAAGCCATGAACAAAGACCCAAACCCCGTGAAAATCGGATGTGATTTGACCGATTTATAGGGGTGGGACCTTTTGACCTACATATGTCTATATAGGATATTTGAGGGTACCAATTTCACTTGAATTTTGACTTAAAATAATGTTGCCAGATTTAGATGCCAAATTGATCTAGAGGTCAAAACTTGAGCAGAAAATCAAACCTTACGAAAATCGGATGAGATTTGACCGGTTTATGGGAGTTGGAAATTTTGACCTATGTCTATATAGGATATTTGAGGTTACTATTTTCACTAGAATTTTGCCCGAAAATAATATTGCCAGACTTAGATGCCAAATTGATTTAGAGGCTAAACCATAAACAAAAAGCCAAACCTTATGAAAATCGCTTGAGTTTTAACCGAGTTATGGTCGTGGGAAATTTTGAACTTTGCCTATATAGGATAATAGCGGACATGCCCCTCTCGAAGATCTTTGGAAATGAGTTTCAAATCGATCGGACGGTAAACTAAAATCTTTTATATAACCGTTTTCCACCAATTTACCACTGTTGCAGGCGAAATTTCTCAAATTGCTGAAACATATATTCATTGATTTTTTATGTAGAGCTTTGAAAAAAGGTTTGAAGCAAATCGGATAAAACCTAAAACTACACCAAAAAAATCTTAGAATTTACTAGGGAATCTTTGATTTTGCAAAACACCCCTTAAAAGAATTTTAACAAAGATCTTTGAAAATGCCGAGGATGGTAAAAAAAAAGTTTCATGTGAACGTTTTTCGCGATTTTTCCTTACATGCGGGTGGAATTTCCCGGAGCCCCGTCTTAACGTGCACCGTTATCACATAAGGTAACTGAAAATTTCAGCTTCAATATAGTCAAAAAGTCAGTCAGTCAGGACAAGTAAATAAACATAATAACCTTTACAAATAATTTACCTTTTTTTAATGGACATAGGACATGGCTAGGCTGCAAATCAGGTTTACAACAAATCGATTTGACCATGAATCGATCCTTAAACCGGTTTAATTGGATAATTGCGCTCACAATAGTAGCAGTACTTCAAATCAGAATAGTGCACAAAATTCAATAAATAAATAACATAATTGATTAATTTTATGATAAGCTAGGTAGTTACATAGCAAACTGAAAGAACCTGAGCTTAAAGACGTGGAAAATCGGTTTCACGTAGCCAACTTTAAGCCAAGTTTGGCACCGTTAACCGAGCTACCAAAAATGTTTGTTGCGCTTGCTGCCTTGATGAGTAGACCATATAAAACATATATATATGTATATATATGTTTGGTCTAGTCGATTAGGTCATAGCGCTATTTATATGCTCGAACTTATAAACAATTTCTTATGCGACTAAAATCTGTTGTCATTATATAGGATAAAAATCGATTATACATTCTATATATCGATTATATTTTCTATATATCGATTATATATGATATATATCGATTATGTAGAATACATATCGATTGTATATATGCTATATATCGATTAATTATGATATGTATCAATGATATAGGTGATATATCAATTATATATGCTATATATCGATTATACATACTATATATCAATGATATATATGATACATATCAATTATATATGATGTATATCGATTATATATGATATATTTCGATTACATATGCTTTATATCGATTAAATGTGATACATATCGATTCAGCTTATTTGAATTAATACCACCTGCTTCCTTCAACTGATTAAAAAACGTATAAAGACAAAATTATATTAAATTTTTGACAGAGTTCACAAACGGTTTTTGAATAATGTCACAGAAATGTTATTATAATATTTTTCAAGTTCTTTTTTTTATTAATCACTTCTTAGAGTCTAGTTTAGTTTTATTATTTTTCATTATTATTATTTTTTTCGCTTTTATTATTTTGTTTTTTTTTCTGCTCATACATGTTCTAGAAAATATGAATTTGGTTGTTTTTTATACACTTTTGTGGAATTTTCTTCTTGTTGTGTTCCTTTTCGCTAGCTTTGCTATTTCATTGTACAATAGTTGAATATACGCATATATGTACAAACATATTAGTTTGTGTGTATATATCATTTCATATAGGGTGTGTATAACGCATGTTGTATATACTAATTATACATTACACAGATTTTTTATCAGTTTTTTATTTTTTATTTTGTTTTATTTTGTTAATTTTATACGCTTCTTGTGTTCTATACATTGTTCCATTTTGTGTTGTTTTATTTTGTTTTCGTTTAGGTTTTTTTTCAGCTTTTCTTATATGCCTAAGTGCATATACGCTTAAGAGTATATGCTTGTATGTGGGCTATATATGCAGGTAGGACATGAACCGTAAAATAACAAAGAGTTGCATACAAAAAATATCATAGGAATACATGTATATCAATATATGTGTATATGGTATAGGTAAGTATATATATTTAGTTTCCGTTCTACATACACGTCTATATATATGTATATCTGTGTATGTCTATATATATGCCTTGGTGTTCAGATGTCAGCTCGATCCTTGCAATTATTGTTTCACGCTGTGTTGTAGATCGTGGATCTATGCCTAGGTAGCTATGTGCGAGGGGTGTGCAGGTCTGTGTGTATGTGTGTGTGTGTAAGTAACTTGATACCCAGTAAATGGAAGTACGACCGAATATATATATGTATGTATGCATATAACGAGATGTCACGATAAGACAATTGATTTGAACAGCTTTTTATATCAGAAGACCAAGTTACCATTAAGTCGTTAGCTTTTTATCTTTATAAATAGTTTAGAACAACGCTTTCTCTCTGTGTGTGTGTGTGTGTGTGTGTGTGTGTGTGGAGTAGTAGTATATATACGGAACACCCATATCATAATGCGCCCCTTTTGGAATTCTGTCAAACTCTTATATATACCCATCAAAATATCTCTTTACGATTTTTTATGCATCTTCAAAATTTATATCATGATTTCGGCAACGCGTGTAAACGTTGCATTTGTGTGCTTGTCTGTGTGAGTGTGTTTTGTGTTTTGGCACACGTTTATACGTTGCGGACATATCATTATATTGAACCTTGTTTAAACATGACATACGGCTGTATACCGATTTCTTTATACTGATTGCTTAAACATGAAATACAGATTTAAACTCTTTTCTATACTTACACACAGTTCATATCATGATTTGAGCGTAGCGCATAAACGTTGCCTGTATATCTGTTTGTGTGTGTGTGTGTGTGTGTGTTTGTTTTTTTATAACTCTTAGCAATACAACAATTCTGTGTTTTTTGTTTTTCTTCAGCCCATCATCAGCATTCTTTCTGTCCTTATCCTATACATCTATATATATATGTATGTGTGTGTGTGTGTTATATATATATATAGATATATATATATATCTTTGGTTGTGTTGGGGTTTTGGTATTGCCTTAGTAGGGATAAAGATTCTTGCGCTTCAGCTCCATATCGAGATCGGCCAGCTGCTGCAGGAAGCCATCATTTGGTCGTATTTCACGGCGCATGCGCACCGTCCGTATCGCATCCACGGCGGACATTTTGCGGCAGATCATCAGATAGGCCAGCACGCAAGTGGCCGACCGGGACATGCCCACCAGGCAGTGCACCAGAATTTTGCCTAAAAATAATTATTGAATTGAAATTAATTGAAGAAAGTTGGTGATATAGAATTTTGTACTCACCGCCGCTGCTGATGGCGCTGTCTATGAATTTGGCTGCCACATAGAAGTAACGGGATATATCTGTCGTTGGGGCATCGATCATGGGGAAGCCCATATATCTAAAAATGCAATCCTTATGTTGGCGTCTGGACACACACACACACATAGATACAAATATGTTGCGAGTAGCACAACAAAATGGCCCACAGTGAGACATGACAATGCGTGGTTTGGGTGGTCAAATGTGTGTGGGTTGGTTGTGTGGATGGGTGTGTGGGTGGGTGTGTGGATGGGTGTGTGGGTGTGTGTTTGTGGGTGATCATGTGTATACATACATATATACAAACGATTGTGTGCGGTGGATGAAATAAAAAGAAAAGGAAATTTTTTGCATTTTTTTGTTTTGTTTGATCAAAATTTTGTTTGCGTTTTTGCGATAAACCAAAATGCCAGAATCGATATTGAGCAAATAAATCGATAAGTAATGTGCATGAGCAGCCCCCGCATTTTGATTATGAACTCGACGCCTTAACAACTCCACACTCACCTAATGCTGGGCATATCACGATAGTAACTGTGTCCCGTGTCCACCTGACCGTAGCGACAGCCCTCCGCGGCATTCAGCACATGCGTAATGCCCATCATTCGCAAATAGGTTTTGTTTTTGGCCGCCGCGCTGCGAAAGGCAAAACGAATCATATCGAGTATTAGCAAGGAATAGAGTTCAAGGAGTGCAGCAAGAACTCACGCATCGCCAATATAAATGCCCGGATAGACCTCATCACTGTCAACATCGTGTATGGCGCACTCGGCACGTCTCAGGCCGGGCAATGTCCGGCATGGGGCCATCGAATAGTGCAGTACACGCTGCAGCTGGCGTCCTGTGGTCTGTTCGGAGGTTTCCAGACGGCTGGGCGACTGCAAGCAAATAGTTATTAAGCAATTTGATTAACTCAATTTGTTCAACATCATTTTTGGAAGTTGTTGCATATATTTGTCATGCGCAAATTTGCATTTCTCAATATTAATATGATATGTTAGCTAGTTAATTGAGAGCTTTACTCGAACTGGGCTTAAGAAGTTAATGTGTGGCACATAAATTTTAGATAAACAACTCTGACATCTATCAGCGGAAGTTGCGCAAGATGTTACTTATCAATCAAATAGATAAATGTGGCTGAAGTCCAAAAGACTTTCCGAACTGAAGTACCCTTACAAAAAGTCTTCGAAGACCCGGAATTGAAAATTATATATATATTGTATATACCTATATACATACATATTTACCCTGCAACAGTCAAACTGAAGCCTAAATCGCATTATTTGGTAAAAGCAATTTGGTTCAAAAGATGTTTTTGCTTTTTGCAAAAATTATTGTTATACTTTTCAGCTTTAAACAAGCCACTAACAAAATGTTGGGTAAATTAATATATATAAAAATTAATCATTCTATTTATAACAAATAGAAGAGTTCTATTGAAGGCTTAAGGAAATTTGACCAGCCCAGATTCGACGCAAGCCCAGGCCTGGGCATGCAGTTGCATTAAATCGAATGCACAAACCCAAGCTTAAGTCTTGACTTGAACCATGAAATATTTACAAACCTAAGTTTAAATAGTAAATATTTTAAATTCTATTCTAAATAAAAAACGAGGTTACAAAACCAAACTGAAAAAAAATGTACATATAAAAATCAAAAACCTTTTAAAGCTAATGATTCACATTGGACATGGCTTGGAATTCCTGCATTTTAATGAATATTTAAGTCAGATATCAAAGGAACCTTAATAAATAAACATATTACATGAAGATCATTAAGCAAGCGACGCCCATATTTAATATTAACATACATATATGCCCAACATTATATTCGTAGTAAAGTGTTATAGAGCTGCGTTTTCTACAGAACAATTCTAGTAAAAATTAAATAACATTAATTAGCATGCATAGCACATGCACATTTATATTACTTTAAGTATTAGCAATTGTATTATTGATGATAGAAAGAATGATGAAAGAATGTTTGACTCGAGCCGACATCATTTAAGTCAATATGTCGAAGTTGGGTTGTTTTGTTCGCGAATTGCGCGCTGTTGAAATGTAAATTTGTGTAGATTTTGGCAAGTGGAAATTATTTATGGGCATCTTTTGTTTGCAAAAGCTCGGCCAGAAAATTTGATGGCAAAGGCGAAGGTCGCGCCTTTTCGCGTCCTTGTCTCGCCTGCTCGTTTGTCAATTGTCAGGGACAGTCGCCAAAGTCAATGGGAAAGTGAAACATTTTCTTTTTTTTGTATTTTCTTTCATCTATTTTCCTTTTTTTTCATTTTAGTTTTGCTTATCGGCTGTCTCTCCTTTGTCATAACATATTCAAATAAAATCAGCGACAGCGCGGCGCCGAGCAGAGCAGAGCTGGGGGATGGATGCGAGGTGGGCTTGGCTGGCTGGCTGGCAGGCGGGCGGGCAGAGCAGGGACGCAATGTTTGTTGTTGTTGTTTAAGAAGAAATATGTATATAGAAACTTTTACTTTTTGCCGCGGCATTCGACCCTGAGACCGCAGAACAGAAGCCAAAAGCAAAAGCCAAATCAGAGAGCAAAAGTTCTTTCACTTTTTCTATTCGATTTTGATCCATTGTGACTGATCTCTGGCATATGCACACACATACAAATACACGAACAAATTGACACGACACGACAATTTTTTGTAGACACACACAAACAAACATATCTATGTATATGCTTAGCTATACATTTGCATATCTCTGAAGCATATTTATACACAACATTAACATTTGATTCGTTTAGCCACAAGATTTATGCGAACAACAACTTTGAATCTATGGAACATTAAACTTATGTTAGATTTCGCCAAGGCTAAATGTCTTTTTTTTATTTTCATTTTTTTTTGTTTTGGATTAGCAGATTTTTGTTGCAAGCAGCAAATGCCTATTAATAAGCTTAAACTTTTGGCCATTTGAGCAAGGTTAGCATTAAGTTGGCTATAGCAGTGCTGTGTAACACGTTGTTTAACAGCACATAACGAACGAAATTGCACAACACTGGACGCATGCATTGTGCTTAGGAACCCAGACAAACCTGATAATAGTGCGGACTATATCTATCGCCAATGCTGCTGCTGTATCTGTCGGTGAGTAGCTGCAAAAAGTGTTCAAGATCAAGAGTACAAAATAATCAAAACAGTGTTGCAAAATGGCTAATGCAAGATAAGTGCACATACAGTGTGGACAACACGTAAATCTTAAATACCTTACAAACTAAGCACAGACTGGAGAGCAAAAACTGCCGGAAATGACGAATGGAGAGAAATGTTATCGAAAAATACTGATTTCTAAATGTTTATTAAAACTCACAACAATTTTCTTTGCCCAACGAAGTTTTAAAATATCTTTTTATAATTTTTTAATATGCGATTTAATCTTTTAAGGAAAATGAAGACTTAAAACTAAATTGCTTTAAAGTATATATTAATCAAATTTCAAAACAATATGTGTGTGATTGAGACTTCTAAATGATCTTTAGAGACATTGTAGTAGGATAAGGCAGCTTTACTGTGTTGCTAACTATGTCAATTCTAAGTAGGTATTGATAAGAAGATGAGAGTGATAGAAATAAGACGTTCATTTAAGCACTCAAAAAAGAAATAAAATAAATATATAATAAGAACTACTAAAACAAGAAGTTAGATTACAAATAATTCCACATAGCAAAATAATAATTTAAATTTAAAATAATTATATAAAATAAATAGAAAATATCTCTTTGAAATTGAATTTCATATATGTCAAATCATACGCTATTCCAAAAAGCTGCCTAGGCAACGAGCCTACGTCGAAGTCTAGTAATAGCTATATTTAGATCAATTCAATATATGCATATGATATAATATAGAAATATTCTTTGAGGCCAAATTGCAGGTGGCTGACAGCTCTAAAGGAGGGGGGCCTTGGGATATGAAGATGAGACAGAACCGAAGCATTTCGCCTTCAGGTGCACGAAAAAGGCGTTGGCGTCGTTGACGTTGGATTTTTTTTGATTTTTTTGGTCACTGTCGACGCCTTGACCTTGTTCCGCAAAACACAAACAAACAACAAGATGCTCACTCTAACCGCACATATATGTATGTATGTGTGTATACATGTGTGCGTGTGTGTGCGTGTGTCTAAAAATACACAGCACATGCATAAAATGCTGCGAAAAGCGCTGCTAAATGAAAATCGCTCAGCGAACAACATTTTCGACACATTCCTCGAACGGTTGGAAATATTTTCAAAAATCCACAAAATGTGCTTGTGTGTTGCCAATTCAGCTATTTTCTAGCTAAAACAGCTAGCTACATATACGATTGAGCAATTTTTAAGGGGAAATAGCTATTTTTGACAGCTTTTTATTGCCCACTTGTGCTCAGCTAGCTAATTCTGCTATTTTTAGCTGTTGCTAACACTGGATTCAGCTACTTTTTTGTAGCGGCACTTGACAACACTGTTCGAGGAGCGTTCAGTATGCTGATGTTGTCGACGATGCGTCATGGCGAACGATCAGCATTGGATGCCACCCGCATGTCGAGGCAATTTAGCTGGACTTAGTCTGTGATTAGATGTTAAATGGAACTTAATCATCAGCATTTCGCCGCCGAATCGAGTCACGTATATTTAGCATATCGTTGAGTATGTTATTTTGTGCATTTTTATTGGCACTTCGCCCCATGTCTATGCAAGGTGTCGCTCGATTTTGTCGCTTTTAATAGCCACAGTGCCAACGGACTGGCCCGCATAGACACCTTTATAAAGCCAGCTACTTGATTGTTGCCGCAGATACAGATACAACAGGCACACACGTGCATGGCCACATTGTTTGATCTATTAGTCAGTCGGCTCGTCTCCATTTCGTTGTGGTTATGTGTGTTTAGCCCATGTCTGACACCGTTCGACACCGAGCACTTCCTGCCAAATAACTAAACTGTGTCAGCTCAGCTCAGGCCAGGTCAAGCGTTTGACCAATCGACTAGCTGCAGCTGCAGCTGCAAACTGTTGCGACGCTCGCTCTCTGGAGGCCAACCAAATGCTGGCAACGTGGCGTATACGTGTCGCACACCCTTGTTGCGACCTGCCACTAGACACTGGCCTCATCAATACCATCCAATGATAGCCTTTTGGGGCGAATGACAGACTAAATGGCTAACATCGCTAAGATCATCAACCCTTCTACAGTGAAAGCTCTGCTAAAGGACAGGTCCCTTGGGTCCCTCCTTAAGCCAAGCAATTTCTCTTATGCCTTTCACATAAGCAAAAATCGCTTTTTCGAGTCACAAAAGTCTGCAACTTGTATACTCAAAAAATATCTTTCACAGTTTACATTAAACTTGTTTTTCGGATCTAGTTCATTTTGTCTAATTGACAATTGACAGAACCAAAAAAAAGCAGAAGCTTACAAAATGCATACAACTTATTTTTCTTAACTTATTCATAAATTCTCATCAACAGTTGTCAGGAGAAAACAAAATCAGAAACTGTCCATTTAAAAAACATCTTTTATAGTCTTTTAAAAATTCATGACTTGTTTTTTGGAACTAGTTCCATTTTTGAACCAGCTCAAACGAAAGAATGTTTTTCTATACGAACTACTAGTTTTGGCAAATTCATTTCATATATATTTAAATATTAAGTTATATTAATTGTATACAAATGTTCTTCGCATATAACACACTCAAGATTTTTTTTGAAATTTGATTACATTTTATACGGAATTTTCTGTTGTTACCCAATTAATTTTCCATAAATTTAAAAACTATTTTACGCATATAAAGTAATGTACACATTTCTATTTGTTGTTCATTCTATTTACTGTCGGCCTTATTTCACACAAGAGTGCAAATGAAAAATTCTCAAAATTGAATTTTAGCTGCCCAATAAGTGCGAAAAATCGCCAGGCATGCTGAAAACTATGGGCAAAACAACAGGGAAATAGAAAAACAATACGAATTGGAAGAATTAAGTATGTGTGAATTACGTTGGTCTAAAAGCTAAATATGAATGGATATGGAGATAATGTGTATGTAGAATTCGACGGAGGGGCACAGGAAAGGGTCTGCTAGGAATATGCATGCATATCGTCCAACAGTACGTATACGTATTCTGCAGCTCACAGCGCCAACACAGTGGGCCAAATTGAAAATTTTATGGACAAAATTGTATAGCCTAAACATGTGATACAGGTTTATTGGACTGTCTTCTGTTGCTATTTTTAAGACTCAACAAGATCGAAGTAAATATACATATATTTTGTGGCAGCAAGTGCCAGTCTGGCCCATAGTGCAGCGTCTAGGAACAAAAAGAGAAAAGGACAATCCGAATGCAATGACATGCAAGCTTGCAGACAAATTTATTGATTAAACAGCCCGCCAAAAAGACGATAAGTAATGGTAATAAATAAACAAAATTAAATAAATAGCAAGTAGAATTATTAAAGATCTTGCGACTTGGCGCTGAGATTGTTAATGCGCCTCAGCGCGGGCTTCACGTGCTAAGGGATGCGCAAACAAGTTGGCAGCTAAAATTTTTTTTTGTCGCATTTACTCAATGACTCAAGCAAAGAGCAAACGGGAAAAACAAAAACAAATGCGGAAAAGCAGAAAATCTGAAAGACTGCTTAATGAAAATTGCGCAAATTAAATGCGCAGTAGTTTTTAATTTGCCATTTAAGGTGTGCGGCACATTTGTTGTGTTGTGGATTCGAGGTGTGGGACAGCTCATCAAATTGTCTATTTATTGCTATACAAGTTGTTGTTGTTTTTTTTTCGATCTTGTTGCTGTATTTGTTAACAAGTAATGCATTAAATGCAATGCCCAAGGCTGATAGGGCGCCCAACATGGGGCGCGCTCGAAATGTGGTTTGAAATTGTTTTCGAAATATTGAATAGCTGAGCTAGCGATGAGCACGTGATACGCTCGTGAATGTAATAGTCGTGACTGGCTAAATAACAATAAAATTAGTTAATGTAAGCGACTGTGTTTTACACTATAATAGCTTTACACCATTTGCGGTTTGCTTGAAATAATAACCAATTACTTCAATTCAATCTTTGTATAACGAAATCTACTAAATATATACGATATTCGAGTATATATAAATGGGAATTGTACTGAAAAGATAGATTAGTATATTTGATACCATTTACATATCCAATATGAATTTGAGTACTATGAGTACTATGGCTATTTAATAAGAGTAGCTTATGAGTATTACGGAAATAAAAAGTATACTAATAATATAAATGTAAATGCATATTTCAGATAACTTTTGTATGTGTCTTAAGCCTTTGTGTGCTTATAGTACTACGAGTACTTGGGATTTACAGTGTGAGTAGCATATGAATACTACGAAAATAAAGAGTATATTAATAATAGACACGTTTAGGCTTATAGGTATATAATATATTTTGCATCCTTTGTGTGCTAAGACTACCATGAATTCTTTGAATATTTCATCGTTTGAGTACTTAGAGTACTATGAGTATCATACAAGTACCAAGGATATATGAAATATACTAACAATAGTTATGAATATGCTTATTATTAATATATTTTCTATGTGTTTTGAGCAGTTGTGTGCTTAAAGTACTACGAATACTTTGAATATTGCAGCATTTGACTGTTTAGAGTACTACAAGAACTTTGGATATTCACTGTGAGTAGGATATGAGTACTTGCCAGTATTACTTTTAAGACCTACACATATATATAAATACGCCACCATTGTTTGTGTATGTTCTAATCATTTAAGTATTTGAAGTACTATGCGTACTTTCAATATACAATGCGAGTAGCATGTGAGTACTATGGGAAAATACTTGTAGCAACTTGAATGAATACGGGTTACCTTTTAAAGCTGACTGTGTGCACAGTTCATGTCTAACTAACTCATTACATTTTTGGTGATAATTGTTTTTCTTTTTACTTTTATTTTTATTTTTCTATCATTATTTCTTAGACAATGGCATCGGCAACAACAATAGCGACAACAATTCGCTTTAAAGTGGCCGCTCGGCATTTTGCCTTTCGCTTTTGCTCAATGAGGCGCAACAGCTGCCAATCGACGACCGCTGGCGATGCTACACGCCCACAATGTGCGCCCACATAATTGTTAAGTGTGCGCCATCTATATATAGGCCATATATAGGCGTATACTCATATATAGAACATACACAGCACATCTAGCCACAACGGGCAGATGTACAACGCTCTATCGATCGTTCAATTAGCGCGCTCAGCGCCAACCTAACAACAACAATGGACAACAACGACAACAACAACGACAACAACAACACGGCAACAACAACACGACAACAACATTGACAGCCAACCGAGTGGCATTGACATTTCAGCTAAGCGATTGGGCTTTATATTTAATTTTTTTCTTTTTTTATTTTTTCCACATTTTTTCCCCTCTTTTTTTTATGCTGCACATTACACGGAAGCAGCGAGCGGCTGCCCAATTAAATGCACGCCCCTGAGGGGGGGTAGGGGAATGGGGAAGGGCTTCAATCGCTTCAATGGCTGCGCCCCACATTAGTCCCAGCAATCAGCCCAAAACGCAAATTCTATGCCAGCGCCCGCAATTCAATTAATTTTGCATTCAGCTGCTTTATTTTTCAAGTTCAATAGATGCGACTCCAAGTCGACGCCCAAATGCCAAACATTTGATTCACGCTATGTTCGAGTGTGTCACTGTGTGTATTTGTGTGTGTGTGCGTCTGTGTGTGTGTGTTTGGCGAGGCAGATTAGCCTTGAAGGCCCACCACATGGTCAGAGCAGCGGGTGTTACCGCTTTGGGGCATTTTACTGTAAAATTTTCGTTGATAATTAAGTTAATTGGCCCACGCGACGTATGAGTAATCTGCTTAGGCTTAACCCCACCCGTCTCTACACCCACCCACCCTTCAAAAGCCAATTACATATATCCGTTTGCGGGTCAGTCGACAAATGCAATACTCGTAATGCAGCTGACGCTTATGTCGTAGCCCCGATAAGTGCCAAAACGGCAAGTAACTGCAATGTGCCCCACATTGGGCGCCAAAAGAAGCAGGAGAATGAGCCCGGGTCTAAGTGAATGCACACACGAATATAGATCAAAAGCAAAGCTGATAAGTGTTACATTACATTCAATTAGGATAATGTATATTTGGAAAGCAGAAATAAAATTCAATGAGTGCGCCCAATTGAATACCTTTAATGAAATTTGAATTCCCAGTTTCAGTTTGCTTCATTTGCTAATATCAGCTGATTTTTAATAAATGACTCTTCAATTTGAAGAGCCTTTAGAAACTGGAGTGCTCTCAATTTAAACTGCTTATAAACATTGAGGGTAGACTAAATTAATTAAATTGGGATACGCTTGTCCCTTGAATATTGTATTTCAATTGTTTACTAAGGATGAATCTTCCCAACATTAACTAAACGTAGAGCTATGTTTGGTGGGTTATTTATTCGTAAATTAATCAGTTTAACTAATCGTATGCTACTTGTCTGACTTAAACAGCCAATTTAATTTCTCTGTTCTAACTGGACCCAACTTTAGACAGGGTTAAGTTGAAGTATTTTCACTCACGTATTAAAAATATGAATATATGAAATATGAGCTGCGAATGCAGCACGTTACAAAGGGATGTGCACGCCCCACGTTGGGCGCCACAGCGCAAATGATTGCAATTTTGCTGGGAAAACTTAATAAACAAAATTCCTACATGCAAATAAAACATAAAATGAAGTTTATAATAAATAGCGAGCTTTTGTGCGTTTTAAATTACGCGCCAATGCAGCGGAAATGTTTGCTAAACAGCTAACGACAGCAAATTATGGTTATTGTTGTGGGAGAACATACGAAAGTGTGTGTGGGTTTGTGAGTGGGTGTGCGAGTGGGTGTGTGAGTCGATGTGTGTGGGTGTGTACACCGAGCATTGTACAAAAGGCACTTGAACTTTGCTTTCGCCATAGAGCATTTGCATTTAGGAGGCCTTGTGTGCATGAATGGGTTAAGGGTTGCGGAGCACGTTGGATTGCTTGTTGTGTTTGTGTGTGTGTGTGCTAAGACTCTGTGCTGCAAGGTGGCTGTTGGCAGCTGCAAAATGGCACACACACCTACACCTACACCTACACACACACACAGGTGAAGGTGGCAAAGTGGGCTTGGCCTTTGCCTTTGTAATCTAATGTAGCCACAAATTGGGTCAGCCACATGAAGATGCGCTCAAGGTCAGCAGCGCCGTGATGAAAACAGCATCAACAGCATGGTCAGCTGCTAACCATCAGCTGCTCTAGCTGACAGTTGCCCAAAAGTGTGACCAGAGCACAGGACAAAGCTGGAGGGGACGAAACTAAGCTAAACTAAACCAGGAGCGAATGCACTTGGTGCTGTCATGAAGTTCATTTTGGGCCACTTACCGCATATCTCCATGACATCTTAATCAATTTCTGTGTGTGTGTGTGGGTGGGTGTTGTGTGTATGTGTTGTATGTGCTCGTGTGTGTGCTGGCTTCCTTATTAGCTGCCTCGTCGCGCTGCCTGCGCCTGCTCCTGTTCCTGCTCCTGTTCCTGCTGTTGCTCCTGGTCACGACGACACGTTCGTTGCTCCCGCTACGCGTTGCTGTGGCTACCTTCCTGTTTGTTTGTGTTCAGGTGTTGAGTAAATGCAAAATAATAGATGATAATCGTTAACTACAGTAGACACAACAATAACAACAACAACAACAGCAGCAGCAGCAACAGCTAGAAAAGTCGCTGTGCCAGAAAAAAAATTAGAAGTGTCTTGCACTTGTTTTGATTGGCAACAAATCTCAGTCAAAATTTTAGGCACACACTTGAAAAAAATAAATAAAATAGGGATAAAAAGTTTCCCAAATTTAGTTGAACGCACCTTTACAAAAAACACGTCTAGAATTTTATATATACATATATAAATGTATATATAAATGAAAATATATGTATGCAGCTGCTGTTTGGTTAAAAGATTCAATTTGAGAGATTTCTCAATAAATTTGTTATTGTTTTTATTTTAAATTTTTTCTTAGATTTTTTTTTTTATATATTTTTGCTTGAATTCTTTTTGGTTTGCAGCGCCCAGCTCTCGTTTATTTTTTTGCGTTCTGGCGACGTACTTTTTGCGACTGATTTGCGAAGCGGCTTTCGCTTTGGGGTTGGTTTTTGTAGGCGTCCAAAAGCTTCCGTTCGGGCCACCTCCGGCCCGAGTCGGTGACGTACACCACACGTTGAGCTTTTTCGCCGTCGTGTTGCCGCTCAGATTTGATTCTGTTGGTATGCCGCTGCACGTGGCGACGCTTACGGGGCCCTAGCCATATATCTACATACGTGGGCAGATATACATATATATATATGTATATATAATCGCCCACATGCAGATGAGAGTCGCCTACTTTCGCATATGCAAATAATTGTTGTGCAAGTATTTTTTGTAGAAATGTATTTATTTTGCTCATGAGAGGGAGAGAGCATCTCATCAGAGAGCGAGAGCGAGAGAGGGCGAGTGAAAAGCTTTTAGCAAGCTGCAGCCACAAACTTGGTCAACTGTGACGCGCACATTCAAGTTCCGCAACACGAATTCAAGATCAACCCATGAAATGATTCACAAATAAATCAACTTTAGAACATGCTCACATACATACATACATACGTATGTACATTCATGAAATATCTAACAAAGCTTCGCAATGAATGAATGTATTTGATTGAAAGCACTTATTGAGCGTATTTGTGGAAAATTATTGAGCGTACAATATATTCAATATTTTATATATGTATGTATATTTGTGTGTGTATGCATCGCTTAATTATTGCTGCTGCGTAAATAGAATCTGCGGAGCGAGAGAATAATTTAGGAAAAATAAAATAAAATATTAGCCGAATGAGTCATTTCAACTGCACAACTCATTCACAGTCATTCGTTAGGCTTTTGAGCTTATCGAATATCCTGTTCCGAGCATGCAATACGCAAGCTTTTCCGAATAATTTCTTTCATGTTACATAGAATTACTTAGAAATTGTATATTTGTAAGGGCAACAGCTTTTTGTTCAGAATAGTCAACATATTCTTGGAAGTCGCTCTTCAACTGAAAGTCAATATGTTTTTATGTTATTGTTCAAAGCATTCCTTAGAATCATTTAAAGGTCTGCAAGTCCTGGGAACTCTAAGAAATGTCAGTGGTTCGGTTCACCGCTCAAATCAAATTGCGTTTGTAGGGTTAGTTCGTCAACACAATGTTTACTTCCTCGAATCCAGCTTTGGTTCACATATAATACAGATGGTTTAATTATTCTTCAAGTGCCCTTAATGGGACATTTAGCCAAAAATGGCATCTACCAAATATGGTTAGAAAAATAAATCAATGCCTTGGTCGAGGCCTCACCGAAACGACTTTTCAGTTGAACCAAGCCAAGCGAAAAAAAAGAGTATAAGAAGACATTTCCGTGTTCAAATCGGCCTTGATTACTTATATATTCTATTCTATAAATTCATTTATATCTCCGGGTATATACGTTCAACATAAGTTCCATTTATTCAATTGGTTCCACAGAAAAATCGTTTCAGGCAGATCTAAATCAAGGCATTATATTTTTACTTCACCATTTTGGCTAAAAGTCCAATTTAGAGCAAATGAAAAATAATTAACTTGTTATTACAACTAACTTACTTTAATTAATAAATATTTGATTGATGCTTTTTAACCCATCAGTTCAAAGGGAGTTCAAAAAAAACATAGGCATTGCTATAACCAGTGTTAGAAACTAAAGAAAAAAAGAGTCAGTGGTTCGCTTTATGCTTCCCTACCTTTGGGTTCGGTTCGTCAAACTGATTTCATACATTCTTGAACCAAAATCTTGGACCAAAACTTTGGTTTGTTCCATGTTTTTAAAATATTAATGAAAAAATGGTATTTTCAACTTATAACAGATTATTGTGCAGAAATACTAGAAAATAGATATTGGAGGTACAAAAAAAAAGGGTTAGAAAAAGCGTAAGGGTTGGGGTACAAGTTATTTACGACGTTTTGAAAAAGATATGATAGGATTTGACAGTCTTTGGAGTAATTGGTTTGCTAACAATATTTATTAAAAAAGTGTTTGATTTAGCCCGAAATCTAGATATGAAAATATTTACGGTGTGCAATATTTTCAGTAGAAAGGGCAATTATAAAACTAAAACTATGACAACGTAAGGTTTGAACAAAAACTTGGGCTTATGAAGGAGTATTCATTATCATGCACATAATAAAACTGAGCAGTACACATTTTTATTATCACTTCAAGCCAATGAACCCCCTTTCAATTTGCGAAGAGCTCTAGCTATTTGTGAAATATGTAAAGTTATTGTGCTTTTTTTTTGTGTTTTTTAATGGTAATGGAATGATTGTTAAGGAGTCGAGTACGATTTGTATACAGATCAGTTGGGCGTATCATATTTGGAGATTGCATGAAGTGTGTCGCATATGAATGTGCTTGGTCGCAACAAGTCCCTGAGACGTTATATGTCCAATTAAAGACGCATCCCCCGTTGCGTTAGTGTGCGTGCGAAAAGAAATTCGAATTGTGAATGAGAAAAAAAATAAGAAAGATATCAATATTACACAATTTTGCAAGCACTACATTTGATTCTGGAACAATAGATCGGTCTGGAGCTTTGGTTTCGGTTTCTTCTTCATGCCGGCCAGCAATTGTTTCAACTGTATAATGGCCATGGCCGGATTCAAGTTCTTGGGGCACGTATTGGTGCAGTTGAGTATGGTGTGACAGCGATAGAGCTTCCAAGGATCCATCAGCTGGCACAGACGATGATCGGTGGCCTCGTCGCGGGAATCGATTACCCAGCGATATGCCTGCATCAGCACAGCCGGACCCAAATACTTCTCGCTATTCCACCAGTACGATGGGCACGCGGTCTGGCAGCAGGCGCACAGAATGCACTCGTACAGCCCGTCCAGACGATTGCGATCCTCCAACGATTGCAGATACTGCGCCTTGCCGATTTCCCTGTCCAAGTCCTTGCGCTGCAGCCAGGGCTCGATGGAGCGATACTGATCGTAGAACTGCGACATATCCGGCACCAGATCACGCTTCACATACAGATGCGGCAGCGGATAGATCTTGCACGGCCTGCCCACATTCGTGTCGATGGCCTGGATGCAGGCCAGCGTGTTGATGCCATCGATGTTCATGGCACAGGAGCCGCAGATGCCCTCACGGCAGGAACGGCGAAACGTGAGCGTTGCGTCCACCTCGCTTTTGATCTTGATCAGGGCATCCAATACCATGGCGCCGCACTTGTTCAAGTCCAGCTTGAATGTCTGCATTTTGGGCTCATCGCCGGGCTTCCAGCGATAGATTTCAAATGTTTTCATGCGTGCCTCCTTCGGTTTGGGCTTGGGCTTTGCTTTTGGCGCTTCGTCCTTTTTGTCACCATCTTTGGCGGCCACCTCCTTGGCAGGTGGCTCGCCGACCTGTTTGTCGCCATCCTTCTTCATCCGCACGGGCTGGCTGCCTTGCTTGGGCTTGTCAAGCTTCTCGGACGTCGCAGCCTTCGCGGCCTTCTCAAGCTTGTCCTTGCCTGCATTCTCGTCCTTTTTCTTGCAGTAAACCACATCCACATCATCATTCACCGCCTTGACGAAGGGCATTGCCGATGCAAGCCCATATGTCCTGGTCATATGATTGCGCACCGATGCCTCCAGCAAGCGCAATCCCGATCTAAGCCGAAGCATTATTTGCTACGGCTCAGATCGTCCAAACAAATACTCAAAGAATATATATATTTAATATTTATAGAAATTTTGAATAAACTTTTCGCTTTTTTTGTTTCCCGGGGCTGCTTCACGTACGAGCTTACAAAAACTACTGAATTCCACAGCCAGACTCACAGAAAGCCCTAAAGAAATCTTGGCCAGAAATCCAATGGCAACTAGATGAGGATAATTACGATTTATGCAAAGATTTCTTTGTAAAACTTGTTAATATTCTAAAAGAATATCAACAAAATTATTTAACTGGATAAGATTCAGATATGATATGATCCAAATGGTACTCCTACATTTTGGAGAGAACAAAATGCAGAAAATTCCATACGATCTTTATAAATAAAATCATGATCCAAATGGTTTTCCAAAACGAAATAAGGCTAAGTTTGGGTTAAAAAAAAAATGTACATCAAGTTTTTATGTACATATATGCCTTCTAGAGATAAATTCTTTTGGCATAAATTTTGACAGTCCAAAAAAGGCAGCTCAAAATCAGAAACAATTTAAAATAGGGTTTGTAACTAAATTCTGATAAGCAATTATTTTTAGAAAGAGTTTTAACTAAGGATACTCGAACAAAATGATATTTCCAACAATTCATAATCCTTAGATGAAAAATCAAACAAGACTAAAGACTGACTGCATAATAAAACACTAAGTGTTGGAAGCTTGAGATCTGGATTAAACATTAATTAAGTACATATTTGGTAAATCTCTTCTAAAGTCGAATATCGCACAGCATAATATTTGTACTATGCTCTGAGGAAGTAAATCCCGCCAGCGGACCTTGAGGGACAAGCCGGGCATCAGGGGCGCCGGGTATCAGCTGCAAAACATTGTGAAATGTTTTTTCTAGAACTGTTGAACTTTACAAATCAGCCAAACATCAATGCCCAGACAATGGCTATGTGTATGCGAAGGGCGAAGTGACTGTTAGTTTCAAATTAAACGCAATTAAATTAAAATATGTTGTACAAGTGGATGGCAAGTATGCTGTAGACATCTATTCCAACTAAGAGCTGGCACATTAAATGGAAACAAACGAAGGGGCGTCAACACATGCAAAAGATCAGGGAGGAAGCGGCCGCTGGACGTGAGCCGCGGGCGCACTGAATGAAGCCAACTGTGAAAACGGCCTCAGGGCCAGGTCTATAAATACAAGAGAACAACAACAACAACAACAAAAACAACAACAGCAGCAGCAGCAGCAGCAGCAGCGAATGCGTCGCATTTGTTGTGGAATGGTGGGCCCGTCCCTTAAAAATAAAACTTAACAACATGTCAGCGGCAGCCGTTGCCATTGGGATCGGGATCTACGCGAAAAACAAAATGTTTTCACTTGCCACGGCAACAGCAGCAACAACCCCACCCCGATCCCAGTCCGTACCCACTCCATACATGGCTTGCACTTCTCTTCATTTTTTTTTTTGGAAAAACTCTTGTGAGTGTCGTGTGCCGTGCGCCGAGCGTGCCTGCATCGAGATCCAATCGATGACAGTCAGCTGAAAAGCGCCCGCTAAGCCTGGCCAGATTAACTGCATCAACTTTTTTATGCCACGGACTCAGCAAACATCAAAGCAACCAGAGACAATTAAAAGGCAATTCCAGCAATGCGCCTGTTTGCACCTGCCGTCTGCACATCAGCAACAACATTGTCAACGTTGATGATAACACTGTGCAACACAAGCTACAAAACAAAACAACAACAACAAACACAAACAAGATTGCTCTAGATAAGATGAAACACTTGGTTAATAGAACACTTCAGCTACAATCGAAAGCAACAAATACATTCATGAGAATCGCATAGCAAGGCGTTCTGCATTTAAGTGACAGGTGTAATGGTAGAAAGAGTCTAAGCAATCAAAATAACAAAAACAAATAATTGAGTGAAAAATACCTTTAAAAATTCGTTAAGCAAACCCATGAAAATCGCATAGAAGGCTGCTCCTCTCGTATTGCAATCTTTTTAGATACATACTCGTACGAAATTTTGTTGTGAAGTGTTATTAAAAATATATACTGCATCACACACAAATACTTGAGGCAAATTATGTTGAGTTGAGTTGTTGTCGCTGCCAAGGTGTTGACGCGGCTGACAATCTGGAGCAGCAGCAGCAGCCGATACCCGCCTGCCTCCCCCTTTCCCACCACACCCCTCGTCACTTAAACATTACAGCTCGGCATCGGCATCGGCATCGGCATCGTTGGTTGAGTCATTAAGCTGTTAAGCCGCCGTTGACGTCTGACAGGTGCCATGATAGAGGCATTTGGCGTGTACATTTCGTCATACAACATGCGAGTAGTTTGAGACGCGTGCTGGAATTAGTTAGCCATGTTGCAGGCAAACGAGATGCCATCCAATTCCGATTTTCACACACACACACACACACGCATACACGCAGACATCCATTCATCCATTCCGATCCCAGATGTGCCCAACGATCAACGAATCGGACCGTCTCTTCCTGTTTCTCAGTTCTGTTCAGTTAATTTGATTGCCACGCTGCGTAGTGTGAAAGTGTATAAAAGTGCAAGATTTATGGCTTTTAAATTTTCATTCATGTTCATGCTGATTGTTTGTATGCATGTGCTTAAATGCACACACACATATGTACATACATATATACACAAATCTACGCATTATGTGCATATTTGCAGATTTGCAGTGCTGCAAAGCGGATGCACAAATCAATTGCAATAGTTGTATGGGAATCAACAGTGTTGGTGACCAAAGAAAATCCAATTACAAAGGTGCCATAACTTTTATTTATTAAATTTGCCACAAACTGACAGCATTTAACAACGTCACGACTTCAGTTATATATGTAGATGCTCTGGCCGAACAGGTCATGGGGTCAGCAAGCAGGATTTTGCTGTTATTTTTAGGGTTGCAACCTAATCCAAAGAGCATATTAGAAGAAAAATGAGCATGCCCACTTAAAACATATATGTATGCATATTTCAAATATTAACAATGCATTTAAGTACAAATACTTAAGCTCGATTCTGTAGAATGACTGCAAAATGAACTTTGCAAATGCTATGAACTATTAAGTCATGCGAACTTCAAAGTCTACCAAATGATCGAATCGAATGCGAAATGCCAACAAGCTGAACATTTAAAAGAGAAAATTAACTGCTTCTAAAGTACTTTTAAATGTTTAAGATTTAAAATCATTTGTCAAACAAATAATTAAGAAATACCATTTAGGAATAGTTTGGTCCAGTGTCTGAAGGACATTTACATTTACATAATTGTAAATATTTGCTAATAAACATTTAATTTGTTTAATTTAAAATCATATCGCCAAAAGTATCGATAGTATCCTTCGCACTATCGCACATGCTAATGGGATATATCGATATGCCAGCTTATCGATTGCTGCAATTGATTGTTTACATTTTGCGGAAAGCAGGCAAAATAAGGCGAATCGAAAATAAATATGAATATTAGACTAAACAGTTATGCACTTGCAATGGATTTGTAGTTGGTACTCGTCTATTTTTGCACTAATTTGTGTGCTAATTGCAATATACTTGCATAGTCCTGTGGCAAAGCGTGGTAGGTGTAAGCCATATGAAGGGTATTTTATTTGGTAACTAAACAATGGATTTTCTAGGCAAACGGAATGCACCGAGGACTCCACCAAATCCTGAGGAGCCATTGCCGCCCTCCAGTTCGCCGCTGCACCAATTCAAGCAGACAGGCATATGCACGGACAACACTCCCTGCAGTCTGATAGCCAGGTATGCGCTATTGAATTCCATCAATTAGCAACTAATTCTGTATTTTTCGCATAGGGAAACATTGGCTCTTGGTGGCAGTGCGGTAGATGCTGCGCTGACCGCACTGATCTGCAATGGCTTCACTGGGATGCAGAGCATGGGACTGGGTGGTGGCATGATCATGAACATTTACATGCACAAGGAGCGACGGGCATATACTATTCTCAGCCGGGAGATTGCACCACGCTCTCTCTCGCCCGAGAATTTTACGGTCTTTGAGAGCGAACAACAATTGCAGCAGTCCGCATGGTCAATCGCTGTGCCCACCGAGCTGCTGGGCTATGCGTTGGCCCATGAGCGTTACGGCAAACTGCCCTGGAAGGATTTGGTTATACCGACGATCTCGCTGTGCCTCGCCGGATATCAGCTTTATAAACATCAATACGATGCGCTCATACTGAATGGGTATATGATCAAAAATGATGCACTACTGCGCCAAATGTTTGTCGATCCCAGGACGGGTGATTTCTGGCCAATTGGTACTCATATACAGCCGCCCAAGCAGCTATGCGACACTTATGAAGAAATTGCCTTAAAAGGACCGCGCAGCTTCTACAAAGGATCGCTGCTAAAAAAGCTTCATTGTGATTTGCGCGATATTGGCAGCGGCATAACCATAGTCGATTTGACGAACGCACAAGCTGAACTCAAGGATTCTATAATTGTACCGTTAGATGAGTATGATATGCATTTGACGCCACCGCCAGGCAGTGGACACATCCTTGGCCTTATAATGAACATACTGCATACGTATCGAGCGGACTTCGCAGCAGCACGAGATTTGGGTCCCTTGGAAACCCATCGGATAGTGGAGGCTTTGAAATTTAGTTTTGTTCAGCGTTGGCAATTGGAGGATGGAGCTGATGAAGAGGTTAAGCATCTTTTTCTCCAAAACACATATGCGTATACTCCCATCTCTCTTTCTCTTACACAGAATACTATCTATCTGTCTCAGTTGTTTTCATGAACAAAATTCGTTTTTCATACACAATATTTGTGATATCAAATTGTTGTCATTTATAAAATATATAATAATAGAAGAAATAACTCGGCATCGCCCGGCTCAAGAAACGGATTCCCAGCAAGCATCTATGCATTGTTGTCTTAAGCAAATTTGAACGGCAATTTAACTTTTTGTTTTTGCTTTTCTTTAAAATTGTATAGTATCTGTATATATTTATATATTTTTGTCATTTTATTAACTCTTTGCTATTGTCTTGTTCCTTTTGCACACAGTTACTGGCCAAGCTGACAAGTCCAACGTTTGCCGCCAGCATCGCCAAACTGATTGATGATACTAAAACGTACAACAGCTCGGAGCACTATGGGGCATTATCGGACATACAATCGCGTAACGAGCATGGCACATCGCATATTTCGGTGCTGCACAATAATGATGCGGTTTCAGTGACCAGTTCCTTAAACTTTTAGTAAGTGCGAGGCTCTTGAATTTCTGGCCGATATCATGCTCATCAATTGCTTGCAGTTTTGGCAGTGGACGCATGGGCAAACGCACTGGCGTTCTGTTCAATAATGCCATGTCCGACTTCTCTATGAAGCATCTGAAGAACTATTTCGATCTGCCGTATGTGGATGGCAGGAATGTGATAGCTGGCGGTGCCAGGCCCATGTCCTCAATGTCTCCAGTCATTGTTACGGAACGCTCCACCGGTCAAGTACGACTGGTAGTGGGCGCGGCTGGAGGCACAAAAATCATATCGGCTCTTGTGCCGCTGCTGGTTCGAATGCTCTGGCAGCAGGCGGACATTAAAAAGGCCATCGATGCCAACAGATTCCATCATCAGATGCAGCCCAATGTAATACAGTACGAATACGGCATGCTCCAAGCACATGTCGACAGCCTCCAGGCCAAAGGTCATCAGTGCGAACGCTATCGAAATCGTGGCTCAGTTATTTGTGGCATTGCCCAAAATAACGACAGCATTTCCATCAATTCGGACTATCGTAAAATAGGCTGTGTGGCTGGTTTTTAGACAATCGACGAAGCGGCTGGTTTTTAGACAAGACGCTGTAACATATCTTCCCAAAGATCACGGAAATTAAGGAGTCGGGTATACGATTGTAAAAGCCGAAAACGAATATAAAGCAGAGTGAATATAGCCGTGTCCGTCTGTCGGAATTGTCCGGATCTGATTTGATATAGTCTCATATAGCTAATATATGATCTGTATGCTAAGCTCTTTTGTGTTTCAATATACGTTCTACAAACTTGGGAGCTTGTCAAAATCGGTCCACTTTATCACATAGCTCTATAAGAGAATCTGTCGTATTACAAAGTTTTCTGTTCTTTAATATATCTTAACCAAACTCAGCAACTAATCTCCTAAGAGATCTGCAAGACCGTACCAAATCGAATTATTATATATTTGGATATCAAACTTTGAATATAAAAGCACGTGTAAGCCCACATTTATGAAATCTTTTTATTAAATTGTAATAATTGAAGTTTTTAGCTAGGCCATTTTGTAACATGCAATTTAGATGTTGAGCTATATATATATATATATATATATGTATATATGTAGGTATGCGTAAATTGCATATGAAATTTAATATAGGGAGTGTGTGTGTATGTGTGCGTGTGCCTAATCGCATGCTATCAGTACGTTTTTATATAGTGTCTTTTAAGTAATTGATTTAGGATCTGGATGCGTAGCTCTCTGTTAATCTTCATGCTCATACTCTGTAGGAATACGTAGTAAGCTCTACTTGTTCTATTCGTTTTTATATGTATATATATATATATTTTAGGCATTATATATAGTAGTTTTGATTGAATAGTTGTGTGTGTGTGTGTGTGCGTGTGTCTGTGCGTTGTGTATTGAGAAAAGGAACCGTTTATTTTGTTGATATCATATTGTTTTCAATAATTGAGCAAGATTACGTAGCGTATCTTTTAAACATACAGCAATTGCATCACATCGATAGCAAATATCATATATGTTTGTATATATATCTTCTATGTATAAGTACAATGGTATGTATAAAAAATGCAATCAACAATATCAGTCTGTTGCTAAATTCCGCTGCAACAACATCTCTCTCTCTCACCCTCTGCTTAATGCTCTCACTCGCTCTTATAGTTAGCTTTAGGGCCAGGCAAAATTAATGCCAGTCAGTTGATAAAACTTATTATTAAACGGCCTGTAGAACTCTCTGAGTCGCTCAATCGCATTGGCATCGATATGCGGATGATTGCGTCCCTTTGTCTTGCCCAAACAGTGGGGCGTGGAGCGTGCCTCCGATTTGAATAGACAGGGGAATCCCTTGGTGGCATTAAAATAGAAATGCTTTTCGGTTACCACACGCTTCAGACCCAAAAAGTCCTGTACACGTCCAATCTCGTAGGCCGGATCCATAATCAATCGCTCGCCGCTTATGAAGAGCAGCTGCGAGAGCGGAAAGTACAATATCCAGTGCTCCAGATAGCGCGCATAGACACCAATCTTGACTGGGCCCCAGTTGGTGTCCACCACAGAATAGCTGCCATTAACAAAGGCCAGTTGCTCGAATCGTTTCATGTCCGCCTTCTTGCTAGCCGCCTGAGTATAATCCGAGATGGCGCGGGTCACCGGATCTCGCACCACAATCAGCAGTCTAAGAGATGGAATCCATAGAAGAAAATACACATATTCTTTATAAGATCACTTCCAATTTGATGATAATAGTACCAATCCTCATGTGAACAGTTATGAAAATTCAAGGATCAGTAGTCAAAGTAAACCAAAGAAGTTCTGAATTTAGAAAGATATATTCCAACAAGTAAGAGTCCTCTAGTGGGGAGGGCCCGACTAAGGGATTCCTTGAACCCCGTGACGAAAATTCTAGCTCCTTCCACAATACATATACGCAAAGACACACACACACACCCGCACTTACTCCCTTTTCCTTACACGTATGTACGGAAAATTCGTTCATGATTGACCTTGCTGCGTCCGATCTTAATGCAATTTGTTGGGCATCAATATGACATCCAAATGGGTGTAAATACCAAGTTAAATAGTAAACCTCTATAAAAACTTGTTGTTTTCTTTAAATTTTTTGCGGATCAGGGTAAAAGTGAAATATTCTGGATCTTATCTTAGTTCTAAAAAGCCCCAATATATGCTCAAATGACAAGATTTCGATATTGGTATTATCGATAATATGAAAACGGAGCAAATAATCGATTAAATAAAACGCGGGATCTACGTTCAAAAATTTAAAGATCTAGTTCTTACATCTTCATACATACGGACGGACAGACATGGCTAGATCGACTCGATGATGTGAATATATACTTTATATATATATATATCGTTTATGGGCTTCTTCCACAAAGCTATGTTATTATTTTAAATAATTTAACCCATTTTCAGTGTAAGACTAGAAAGAAAAACTGTATTTATCTAAATTAACAATCTTTCATCAAGGGCAAGTCGGAGTTCTATGTCGTCGAGCCTAATATTACCCTTCAATACCCCTTAAATCCTACTACAAATATCTGGGAGTCGGGAGTCCAATACAATAATAGGCCCTCATTTCATATATACTTAAATATATATTTAAAGTTTTGACAGGTTCGTTGGATCAAATTGGAAATATTAAGAATGTGGTTTCTACTCACTTTGTGGCCGGGTTCATGTGATACACGCGCTGTGGCACCTCCTTTGTGACAAAATAGCTGGGCGTCTTCTCCATGGTGATCTGGCCCTCGATGGTGTAGGGCATATGATGGCGATACCAGCGCAGGCCGCGCTGATAGTGCCTATCGAAGAAGTGCACCTCAGAGCCGGCGGCACGCACATCCGGATGCAGGCGTATAAACTCGAGCAGTGCCCGGGTGCCGCTCTTCTTAACGCCAATGATGAGCGTGTCGGGCAAATGGCGCGAGGGCCGCAATCCCTGCTGGCGCAGCATTTGATATTTGGGCGCGCCGTCGACGCTGGCAATGCCATTGCCAATGCTGGCCACACTGGCGGTGCTATTAGGCATCATAGCCGTGCTGGTGGTAGCCTCAGGAGCAGTATCGGCATCTTTGCTAACATTCCGCCGCTGCAGCGTCAGCAAATTGCGTAGGTTGCTCTGTGTGCGGTTAAATAGTGAGAAACCAAGCGTATTGGATTGCATTTACGGTAGCTCACCTGCTGCAAGGAGCGACTGATGCTGGCAAAGAGGCAGGCATTGAAGCTGTAGGAGAAGTAGACGAGCGTCACGCAGACCACCAGGGCAATGGCCAGGCTGCGGCTGCTCAAATTCAGATTGTGGCACCAGATGCTCACATACATGACGCTAAACACTAGCACACCAATTCACACACACACACACACATACAAACGCACGCAGTTAGCCACGTTGTGCCGCTGCTGTCCTTTCCATGATTGTGGCCGCCAGTTGGGATTAATAATAGCTCCAGCCGGCCGGCTGTTGGGGCTAGTCTAAAACAGCGCGTTGAGCATTCTTGGCAAAAGCGAGGCTTTAGATATTGTGGCAACTTCAGCGCCAGCTGCGTCTACGAATGCAGAATTCCTGCGCTGAATTTGTCGCCTGTTGTTGTCGTTGCAGCGAAATTCCGGAAGTGATATCAGGCGGGCAAAGGAAACACAATCCCTGTTACTGGGTCGTCCTCTGGGGTCAGAAGCGCAAACGCGAGCTCTCTTTTTTCTCTCTCTCTCTCTCTCTCTAACCCTATATCTGTCTATATGTGTGGCCTGTGCATGTTCTCACTCTTACGTAACAGCGAATATGCGAATATGTGTCTTTAAAAAGGTGGCAACTCTTTCTGCACGCTCCCACTGCACATGACGTCACAAATGCTTGTAGCTAATGCATCGCCATTTATTTTGTTTAAAACAAGATAAGTATGCAATTTTTTTTGCCTCGGAGATAGTTTTGCGATAGTTGCAAGCATTTTTATATTTCTAACTTAATTGCTTAAACTAAATTTTTCCGTGAGATAATCGTTTGGAAAGTTAAAAAGACGATCTTCTCTACATTTCAAGTTTTCTAAATACAGTATAATTTCCTTAGCTGCCTCGTACTTTGCACAGACATTTGAGGCAGCTATCCTAAAAAGGCAGTTAACTTCATTTATTTTTTTCCTAAAAGTGAATCGATTTCATAGTAACCTCTATTTTTTTTTAGTTGCACTGAAATCTAACAGTACAAAGTTAAATAAATTTATTCGATAGTTTTTATTAACTTTATGTATTTAAATTACATTTAATTCAATTTCAATGCACTTTATTGCATGCATAAGAAAAACAAATCAAAAATCAACACTTATGATCATAGATGGCGCAGGTGACTTACATGATATTCATAGAAATTGGCAAAAAATTACTACCGATAGGAGGCGCTTAAATGCAAAAGGCTGTTTAGTTAGATGCACTTAACCTAATTAATTTCATACAAAATTAGCTCTTGTTGCAGCTAAGTATCGAGGCAGCTAAGCAAATTATACTGTACATATGTTTTTTGAAATATAGTGAAACATTTCGTCAATAAAATGTGAGAGTCGCTTGACGTCGAGGCAATCTTGTGGCTTGTGCCGCTGCTCTCACAAACCCTCAACCCTTGGCCAAACTGTGCTCAAAAGTAAACAAACTGGTAAACCAGCCCCCCACCCCGGCTGTTCAACCGGGCAGAGAGACAGATGGAAAGTGACAGGCAAACGTTTGCTCCACTTAAGTAGCGCACACTTTAAACGCTCCCGGGGGAGCTTTTATTGTGCCGGGGCCAACGGGGAGGTATTATCAGAGCCGGAGCGGAAAGATTAGGTTTATTATCAGCAGCAAAGCTTCACGTATATATCTCTGAAGAGGGGCGCTACAGGGAGAGCGGTAAATCGATGGTCATGAATTTGAATGTGCCAACACGCCAACTGCCATCTTATCAGCTGCTGTGGGCATCCGTTTATCCACACACATGGCTGGGGCCCTATTTCACCTGGCCGGGATTAGTCATCATGCAGGTGCCGCCTTGCTGTGGACTTTATCTAATCAACTCTGCGCATGATTTGACATTAACAATTCTCAGTCGCATTTCAAACGTCTCCGCTGGCATTTGCTGGCCAAGATCCTCTCGCGGAAAATTCAATTCAATTTCAATTTGAATACTATAAACAATTATGCATTAGTCACGACACGAATTTCAAACAGTTTAATGAAAATGTCGAATTTATGGAGCACATGTGTGCACAAGTTTTTCAAATACGCGCCCAGCTATGTGGGTAAGTATCGACGTCCAAATGGAGCCCATATCTCATTATATAAACAATAACATTTTAATCTTTATACAGTGTGTTTATGCTTTCTGCCCTGCGGCCTCATCTTTGGCTACACGATCTGCTCATTTGTG